AACGTAAGAATGTCCCCTCTCATTCGCGCAATTCCTCCGCGAAGCCTCGATTCCAGCGTCGCGAGCCTGGAGAAAAGTACAGAAAATTCTACCCCGAGCCGCGTAACGCGACGAGATCGCGCCTTCGGTTCGGCAAGCGTTCGGACGCGCGTGCACGTCGAAGGGGCGTCGCTTTGCGGTGCTTAAAAGCGGCCACTCGAGGAAACGCGTTATCGATACTTTTAGCCGCACGGTATCGCGTCGTATCGTGAAACACTGTGGCGGTCGACTCTTCCAGAAAACAAAGGGGCCCCCTTTTCACGTGGCGCAGACACACACATCACCGGCCAGTGATCAATAATTAGACTTTGCCGCGCGTATCTCCCTCAGCACGCATGCCCGTGCTGTAGAACCGAACCTCTCCTCGCGGCGTACCCGTCATTGATAAAGTTTTAATGATGTTGCGCCTGCGAACCGGAAATGCGGAACTTTCCTCCGTCTTCGACGACTTAGGCTGTGTATTTAGTGCGATGAACCCGTTGCGTCGATCCGCGACAAGCCTCTGACACGCTCTCGCCGCGAGGTAAATGCTTCGCGGTTGAAAGGAGCTAGCTTCTTCCCGATGAAAAGATATTCCACGCCAGTCTACTTCCTTTTCTATTTAACCCTCTGCAAACCCGATTTTTCTACGCTCGTCGCCGGGAAGATAAATTGCGGCTGATTGCAATTGTGCGCGGTTCGACGGGAGAAGCTGGTATTGATAATTGTTGGAAAGTGCAATAGCGATAGATCTTTGAGGACGGTGAAAATACTGATTAATTGGGCAACGCATAATTAGACCACTACTTCAATGTTTTTTATCCAACTGAATCATCTGAAAATTACATTTTCTTCAAATAGGGGGGAGTAGGGGAATTACGAACACCTGAGGTAAAATTTAATAAAACAAAATACGAAGGTAACAACTTTGTCGTTTATGTACAAACACAGATTGTCTGCTTATATATTCTTAGAACGAACTATAACGAAATTTGAAAATGAAAGCAATTTTTAATAGAGGAAGCTAACTGTCGTGAGGTAATCACGAATACTGCTTATTTTTTATAAAAGTCGCATAAATGGCCTTTAGATGTGCTCCGTCCATCGCTGCACTTTTCGTGTGCCCATTCTCAGCAGTCGTAACACATAATCCATTAGCGTTAAACATTGGTATTGAGACAATTATACGGGCAGAAGGCTGTACTTGAGTTTCTTCAAGAAATTAGACGAAGACGAGGAAAAATCTTCGACAGTTTTGTGACACGCGTGATAGTGCGTGTCAACTATTTCGGTACAAGCCCTATTCACGCCAATTGTTTTTATTACTTGGAAAAATGTCAGCTTATTGGTTGCAATGTTTCGCGAACGCATATACGAGTCTATCGTCCTCGAAGGGATCGAGAGGTGAAACGAGAGTTGTAAATAACTTGGAAGAAATACGGTGTGTCCTTTTTTTTCTCTTTTCATTTGATTAACGAGGTATTTGTCAAGGACTTGTTTCCCTTTTTTCTGCAAGGTGTTGAGTAAAGCTTGATGGTTGTTTTTCTGGTTATTAAATTGTACTTGCGCTCGTTGAAAGGAGTTTTTGTTTCGTATGTGTAACGCGTGGTTGATGCAACGTGCGCGGACCAATTAGACCGTGCTATGTTTAATTTTCTTAGAGAAAGTACGTACGTTACCTTTCTCGGTGAGAGAAATACAAGTAACGAAGGTTGCAAAATTCGTGGTTTCTTTTCTCCAGTTCTGTTACAAAAATTTGGAAAATTTATCTTTGCGCGGTGTTTAGAACGTCCGATGGAATAATTTTATTTGCGTAGAATATATAGATCGCTCGAAAGTTTGCGCGTGCAATATAAGGAAGATATGCGGGCAGCGACATAAATTTCTGGTCTGAAATGTGATAGTACGCGTTGCTTAAAAGCACTGAAACAACGTACTATTATTGCAGGGGAATGAAACTCTCTGTAGAAGACTCATTTTGAAAATAAATAATACTCCTGTTGCCGGTGAAATTATTCAAACGATCTAAGGTAATCGTTGAAAATTTATTTTAGATTAATAACTGAACGTAGAACGAAGCGAGCGCTGTTTATTTTATCGAGAAGATAACGAATCTATGAAAATTCAGTGTAGAACGAAGCAAGCGCTACTTATTTAATTAGAAAAACAGACAGATCGTTGAAAGTTTATTTTAAGTTAAAAATTGAACGTGGAACGAAGCAAATCCTGTTTGTTTCATTGAAAAGAAAAGAAATCATTGAAAATTGAGCGTAGAACGAAGCAAACGCTACTTATTTAACTCAAGAAAACTACAGATCTTGGAAAATTGATTCCAAGTTACAGATTGAATGTCGAACGAAGCACAAGCTGTTTAACCCTTTCGCGACGGCGGAACTAGGCATCAATCCGCCACTAACGGACGGGTCGTCGTGCCATTAGTGCACACCATGAGTGTCTCGCGTTTTTCGTGCCTGAGCGTAGAACGAAGCAAACGCTACTTATTTAACTTAAGAAAACTACAGATCTTGGAAAATTGATTCCAAGTTACAGATTGAATGTCGAACGAAGCACAGGCTGTTTAACCCTTTCGCGACGGCGGAACTAGGCATCAATACGCCACTAACGGACGGGTCGTCGTGCCATTAGTGCACACCATGAGTGTCTCGCGTTTTTCGTTCTCCCAGTGTGTCCGTGTAAAATCTTAGAGGATTTCGTTGGAACAGCAGAGGACTTAAGGATGTATTGGATAAAGGGAATGTTGTTGAGGCCTTTTAAAATAAATCCAGTAATAAATCTTCACTTTGAGTTGTTGAAGCGACGCGCTTAGTGGATGCCGGATATACCCGGCTTTAGCCAGTGTGAAGCATTTAGCGGATGCCGGATATAACCGGCGCTAGTCGCGAAAGGGTTAACAGCGAAGAGTTACTCTTCTCCCCGTCATTTATCAATTTGTTAGTTTTTATTCTCTCCTCGGTGTTCCCCTTCGCGATAATGCCGCACAGGTATTCGTTTCCTCAGCCCCCGAAGAGGACACTTGAACGGCAATTTTTCATCCTTAACTCGAGAAAACTTATTGACCCCCGTGCAATTTTTCAAACACCGCCTGTAAACTCCCGCCGTCCTTTGCCGGACTGGGTGTGCTTCAATAGTCCAACGGAGCGTGGAAAATATTAAGTAACTGTTTCCGAGCCATTACCCCGATGCGCTTGCAAGAGCGACAAAAACACGTTCTCGCGAAATGACCGTATCTGCTGAATATATATCCACGTGGATTATGCGTTGATGATTGCATCGATCATGCCGATATACATACATATATATATCCCCACTCTTGAGCGATCGCGTGACGCGGAAAACCTAATTTTTCCACGTAAAATGCATATTTACGAGCCTGATTTCATCGCGTCTGCACACTACACTCCATCGCTGTAATTTGCAAACGTATCTATTTTTATTTCCCAAGAAGTTATGGATACGAGATCGTTAAATTATTCAAAATCTCGATTGCGGCTGCGTATCGATCTCTCTCCACCGTCGAATCGTGCAAAGTGCAATCCCTTCTTCCCTCGAAGAAAAATAAAAAAAAAACCACACAAAAGAGTTTGTTGGAATATTTTCATTCCCGGCGATTCTCTTCTTTTCTCTTTCATTTGGTCGAATAACGAACCCGTTCGAACGGTCATTATCAACTTCAGAACGCTCTTCGGTGAAACTCGACTAGGATAACCAACTGGTTCGCGGAATCTGAAAATAAGCGATCACACGAGACTCCAGCTGGATCGGAACGAATCGAATTGGGTCGGATTCACGCGAGAAGGGATCGCGTGTCTCAATCGGAACGGTCGGACGT